GGTTTCTTTCTGTTTTGCATCATGATCACAAGATAACTCTGGGAATGCTCTGAATATCACAGACTGTTAAGAACAATCTGTAGAGGAGAATTAATGTTGTTATCTGTTCCTCCAGACTCAAAGGTCGGTAACAGAGTGGTCGGCAATTCCAGCAAGCCAAAGAAATCACACTGCAGCCTCCAGCTCAGCTGGACCAAGCGCCTGTGAGTAGATCTGTGTGTGTTTGAGGGCTGATGTCATGCTTCTGAGTTTATACTGCTTGGCTAGATTTTAAAAGCTGAGTACGATTTCTTGCATTTTCAGTTTGGGTTGCAAAGATGTGGTTCCCCTACTTATTCCCCTTTGCCCAAAAGCAGTATTGATCACTGCTATAATAACTGGAGGCTAGCATTAATGATATAAATCAGCACCCTGATTTATTGATGTATCTCTAAAAGCTCCACCACTGTAAACCTCTTTGTGTGTGCCCTCAGATCCAATGCCTCAGCCAGTAGCCTCCCAGCAGTCAGTGGTGGCTTTGCCATCTGGCATCCCACCTCGCCAGGCAGTGCGGCCCTGGACTAAAGACCTCAGCCTTTATGAAGAGTACAAACTGCGCAGGAATGAGCTCCGCAGGCGAAGCATCACCAGACGCAGAGAGTTGGAGAAGACGCTGCCTCAGCCGCTGCTTGCAGATCTAGTTAGTAAACCTTAATGTTTACGTCAGACTATGAATTATGATATCAATCTGTGTGACATATATTAATCATGTTTAGAATTTTAAGGGACAAATTTTACCACAGTTGCCTATATTTGATATAAAACATGATGATTTTGTTGTGTTGAAGGTGCGAGAGCGTCGAGAGAAGACCAGACTGAGGGTGGCCAGATGGAGGGCAAAAAGGAAACTCCAGGCGTGTATTAACCAGGCTCAGGTCAGTAATGACTTTGGCTTTTATTATCACAGAAAGAAGAACATGATGTACAGGAACACAATGCCCCTGTCACAAGGAAGTGTCTTATTCAGCATGGATTTCTCTGTGTAACACTGATGTTTCTAGGTCTCACAGCTGTCTTGTTCAGGTTGACTTGCATGAAAATTCATTTAGTCAAGAGGTCTGTGTTTTGTAGGATTTTAAACAACACACTCAGTGATAAATTTTAGTTTATTCTGTGTTAGAGATCTAACTATGGACTTGCACAACTTAAGTGCTGTCAGTAGCTGCACTCAAGCTAGTAACTGATACCTTCATTAACATCACAGCATCAGGTCCTACTTAAGATTTCACGGTCGACACATTACCTAATTGCACAGTATCTGCTACATGCTTTAGCCTTTAATAATTAAAGAGTAAGCTGCTACCTACTGACCTCACCCTTACACACAAGTATCATTTACACGAAAGGAACCTTCCTTCTTAGTGAGACAAAGCCCTCATTTTGTTTTGTCCTGTTCGTTCTCAGGCTCTAGGTGGTGCTGCAGGTCTTTCTCAAAACGGCTTTCCCATCAGCAGTCAGCATCAGCAGCTCACAGTGTCTTGTGGTAAGTTGACACACACCTATATAGCACTGAATAGCCTGTTACTTGTTTTGTTTTTAACCATCTCCATGTCCCACCAATTTTAATGGTGCACATAATATTGAGCTCTGCATGTATTTCTCAGCTCGACATCCACTGGTGAATGTGACCTTGTAGGGCTGCCAACACTCACACATTGACCACACAATTGACTAGGGATGCTGTGATCCAACTTTTTCACTTTTGATGTGATACCGATCCAATACCAGTGCATATTTCTATCTCTCTGTTCTGACCAATAGGTTCACTTTTTTAGTACTTATTTTGTAATGTGGAATAATAGAAAAGGCTTGATCAAGTGCTATTACTCAAAATGAGAATAACATATTTCCCAAGATGAATAGTCCACAACAGTAGGTTATTATGACAAAATTTGAGCCATTTGTTAGATATTTAAATTTTTAACATAAAATAGGCAGTAGCATTAAATAAAATAAATAAAATAACATCTCTGTAGTGACTCTGAGACAAATTAGAAAAAGCCAATTTAAAAAAATCATACAAATTTAAAAGAAGGCTTTGTTTGACATCTGTTACATAAATAAAAAAGTCATAACTTCCAAAGTCAGTTATCTCTACTGCCAGTGGCAGCCTGGTGCTGCTGCTGTGTATAAAACAGAACTGCAGGGACCAAAGTTCACCAAACACAGACCCACCCTCCTCTCTTCTTTGTGTGTTACAATGAAGTGCTGGATGGAAAAGCTGGAGTGGATTTGTGGAATGGAATGCTAGTATCGCAGTGCTAGTATTGCACTTTTCCCCTGCATTGCGATCCGATCCACATTTTTTTGGCTGGATTGCAGCATATTTTCGATCCGCGATCAGCATCGCAGCATCCCTACAATTGACACCTTTCACATGCTCTCATTCCACACGTACAGTACAGGCCAAAAGTTTGGACACACCTTCTCATTCAATGCGTTTTCTTTATTTTCATGACTATTTACATTGTAGATTCTCACTGAAGGCATCAAAACTATGAATGAACACATGTGGAGTTATGTACTTAACAAAAAAAGGTGAAATAACTGAAAACATGTTTTATATTCTAGTTTCTTCAAAATAGCCACCCTTTGCTCTGATTACTGCTTTGCACACTCTTGGCATTCTCTCCATGAGCTTCAAGAGGTAGTCACCTGAAATGGTTTCCACTTCACAGGTGTGCCTTATCAGGGTTAATTAGTGGAATTTCTTGCTTTATCAATGGGGTTGGGACCATCAGTTGTGTTGTGCAGAAGTCAGGTTAATACACAGCCGACAGCCCTATTGGACAACTGTTAAAATTCATATTATGGCAAGAACCAATCAGCTAACTAAAGAAAAACGAGTGGCCATCATTACTTTAAGAAATGAAGGTCAGTCAGTCCGGAAAATTGCAAAAACTTTAAATGTGTCCCCAAGTGGAGTCGCAAAAACCATCAAGCGCTACAACGAAACTGGCACACATGAGGACCGACCCAGGAAAGGAAGACCAAGAGTCACCTCTGCTTCTGAGGATAAGTTCATCCGAGTCACCAGCCTCAGAAATCGCAAGTTAACAGCAGCTCAGATCAGAGACCAGATGAATGCCACACAGAGTTCTAGCAGCAGACCCATCTCTAGAACAACTGTTAAGAGGAGACTGCGGGAATCAGGCCTTCATGGTCAAATATCTGCTAGGAAACCACTGCTAAGGAGAGGCAACAAGCAGAAGAGATTTGTTTGGGCCAAGAAACACAAGGAATGGACATTAGACCAGTGGAAATCTGTGCTTTGGTCTGATGAGTCCAAATTTGAGATCTTTGGTTCCAACCGCCGTGTCTTTGTGAGATGCAGAAAAGGTGAACGGATGGATTCCACATGCCTGGTTCCCACTGTGAAGCATGGAGGAGGAGGTGTGATGGTGTGGGGGTGTTTTGCTGGTGACACTGTTGGGGATTTATTCAAAATTGAAGGCACACTGAACCAGCATGGCTACCACAGCATCCTGCAGCGACATGCCATCCCATCCGGTTTGCGTTTAGTTGGACGATCATTTATTTTTCAACAGGACAATGACCCCAAACACACCTCCAGGCTGCGTAAGGGCTATTTGACCAAGAAGGAGAGTGATGGAGTGCTGCGGCAGATGACCTGGCCTCCACAGTCACCGGACCTGAACCCAATCCAGATGGTTTGGGGTGAGCTGGACCGCAGAGTGAAGGCAAAGGGGCCAACAAGTGCTAAACACCTCTGGGAACTCCTTCAAGACTGTTGGAAAACCATTTCAGGTGACTACCTCTTGAAGCTCATGGAGAGAATGCCAAGAGTGTGCAAAGCAGTAATCAGAGCAAAGGGTGGCTATTTTGAAGAAACTAGAATATAAAACATGTTTTCAGTTATTTCACCTTTTTTTGTTAAGTACATAACTCCACATGTGTTCATTCATAGTTTTGATGCCTTCAGAGAGAATCTACAATGTAAATAGTTATGAAAATAAAGAAAACGCATTGAATGATAAGGTGTGTCCAAACTTTTGGCCTGTACTGTACATTTACTCAGAAAGTGAAGGACAAATTTATAACTGATAACGTTGTGACATTAAAAGAGGACACCGACAGGGCACGGACAGACAAGGCTAAAAACACACAAAAACATGGCCACCACACAGCAGTGAAGTTAGGGTCACGATTTTCGAATTTCGAATAGTCGTTTTAATTTTGAAAAAAAGATTTTTTAATGCGACTATTACTATTCACCGTCTTATTTCCTCCCTTTATTTGACATGCAATTCAACTCCTAACCACATGAGGGCAGTATAGGATTGCTACAGCGGTGTGAGATGGGCTACCAGCTAGTTTGATGCTCTTCTACAAACAGGAGAAACATGCAGAATCCCCGCGATGAGGGGGGGGGGATTATTCGAAAAATTGTCGAATAGTTGCCATGATTTTCGAATAGTGTTTTTGCTTGTGCTGGTTCATTCATTTTCAGATTTTGTAGAAGTCGTGTTTTCAGTTTGGATGTAGTTAATAAAGAGTTTGAAAAATATAAGAGACTTTGCATCTTGTGTTTCAGCTGCGACGTCCAGCAGTCAGCAGAGACAGAGCTCAGCGCTGCCGCAGTCCAACAGCTTCCTCAGCAACACATCAGCCAACACATCAGCAGCAAACAGCATCTCTGCCACTCTCCCCTTCCTCCCCCCCACCTCCTCCTCTACTCTGCTCCTGAGAGGCCCCAACATGGCTCCACATCAGTACACGGTCACAACATCTTCACCATCCTCTTCCTACCCCCAGGTCAGCCTACAGCAGAGTATCTCTCTGACAGACACAGATATCTTGCAATGAACTAGAGATTTTTAATAACGTGTTTGTCAAATTGGTGTTCATGAACAATCAGTCACATACATAGCCATCAAGCATTTGGTCTTATTTGCTTACCTTACATTGAACTTCTATTAACACAATAACAGCAGAGCCAATTTCATTCATTTCTTTATTCAGCATAAATGAAAAGCATTATGGATCTTCAACAGGTTAAAATTAAAAGCACCTTATCCCTACACGTATGTACAGACAAAATGCATCACCTTGTTTTTGTCCTTACGTTAAATCACATACTCTATAAAATGTCAAACATTCAAATAAAAACACAACATTCAGATTCTTATATAAATTCATTCTCCTACACAGGAAACATAAATTATGTTAAAGTGTATTTATGCAGAAACCTTCAAAGCTATCTTCTTAAGTTATCTTTGTCTTTCTTGTACGTCTTTACTGTTGATGTGTTTTATAGTTAAATGTTTGTTTGATTTGACTGAAATATTACGGAGCATGGGAAGAGACATGGAGGGGAAAAAATTAAGTTGAGGACAAAAAATATTTACTTTTATGAGCTCTCACTATAACTTTTCATTTAGGACACCATGCCTCAAAGTCAGTTGGGCACCATGGAAACAACCACAATGATGGACGTGCAAACCATAGGGCAGGATGTCACAGCAAGCTGGTGGCCAGCTGCGGAGCTGGGTCTAACCTGTGTAACGGCAGTAACAGAAAGTTTGCTGATCTGGTCGGGAGTTGGGGCGGTCAGGGATCAGCAAACTTTCTGTTGCTGCTGTTACACTCACTGCAGAGTAGCTTCATTCGCTTACTGCAGACCCGTCTCCAGAGCTGCTGTCGGCTCTCCTGGCGATAAACTAGGGTCCTATAGAGTTTTGCGCTGGCAAGAATCTGGCTATATGATACAAATCGTGATACACGGGTATTATGATTCAAAATACTGCATTTCTGTAAGCAAAGCGATACATTGTGTTTTATTTTTCTAAAAGTAATTCTAATGTAAATCTCTGCTGTTTACTAACCCGTTTACCGGCTTGTTGGCACACCACACATACAGAAAGGCACACTCGTCTGCTGCCAAGCTGTGTACACATCTCTTGTCCATTTGCAATAGGAAAGGAATCTATAGCCTATTTTTAACGTTTTTTTTCCCGCATTTAAAAAAACCCCTGCTGATTTTGGTGGAAAATATAAAGTAGATTTGGAAGACGATTGAGGGTACCAGATCAGGGTATGCTTTGTGACAACTGTGTTCACTTGCGCTGGGTATTCTCTTCAGATGTCTCACTAATGAGAATTTATATTTGAGACCAATCTCATGGGTGTGTGCCCTCCATTGCAGTGGTTGTTTCCATAGTGCTGAACTGACCCAGAATAACAAAGACCTAAATGAAAAAGATTTGGAGATCTTCCCGAGATTTACCCTCTATGTTCCTTCTTGGGCTCTAAAAATATAGTGCAACAGGAACAATTTATTATGTTTGTTTTTTTTAAATTGGGCATTTGACTGTCTTTCAAATATTAGGCAGAATGGGTTTTCCAGTGCTGGGGTGATTGTAATCATTGCAATTTGTTGTGGAGTTGAAGTATCAGTACACAAAGAAATGAACTGGGAAGTGTTACTTTGCTTTATACCAAAAACATGTCAAAGTTGCTAACAAGAAAACAAACATTCATTCCTGATAAAACAAAAGAAGCCTAATACCTTGTTCACTTACAATAAATGCACATTAAAATAAGCACTGTGTCGAACTTTTATTTAACAAAGCTTGTCTCTTTTGTACAAATAATGTCAATAACCTAAAAGTTTAGGTTCAGATTTTTTAAAGTCTATCTGTAGACAACACTGCAATCATCCCTCCTCTGAATACTGTCTGTAATGCACTGTGTTGGGATAAGATCCACAGTTCTTGTTTTGTCTAAAATGCACCATATAATTTATCTGAAGCTGTTGGTAAAATCCAATTGAAATTAGTATCTCCCTGCTGGTAGGCATACATGTGCAGGTTTACTGCCACTTTTCCCCTCGCAGCAGCAAAGCACAGCAGACTCTTAATAACAAGACCTTGAATTTGGAAAATACCCACTCAATTTGCAAACTTGAAAAGCTTTGACTTAACAAAACACATTTCTGGAAAAAACAAGAACATTCAATTTTGTTTTCCATAGCCAGTATGGAGAGGGTGATGTATTCCAGTGATCAGTAACTCCTTTAATGTACATTTGGCATGCAAGTGATGTACTTAGGCTTGAAAAAATCCAAACCTAGGCTTTAAAGGCTTAGGCTTTCGATGTTGTAGATTCTTTTATAGTCAACAGTTCCTTTGAAAAGTCCGAAAATGAATATGCTAATTGCTCTCATGACACCTAACAAGGTAAGAATGTCTCTTAAGCTCATTTGTTCCTAATTGACATACATCTCTAAAAAGTGGTTATATAGATATAATTCCATTAAAGGAAAAGGCTTGGCTAGGTTTTAGCCAACGTTATTCAAATGGGAGAAAAACACTGCATCAGGTGTGTTTGGCAAGAAAAGGTAACAGTTTTTGGTCCCATTTGGTCAAGCTGTTGAAATGAACATGTTTATTATTTTGTTATGACGTCATAACATCTGTCATCTAAAAGTCATCCATAATTTTGAATACATATTGAGAGCTACAGTGTGACCATAATCTGTGTGTATGTTAACCATTGACTATCTTCTGAGAAATGGCTCCTGGCAGTGTGTAGAACAGCAGGGCGAGGAACAGCACTGAGATGAGCAGGACCAGAGCGATGATGATGTACTTCTTGTAGCTTCGCCACACCAAGTGGAAGAAACACTTGAATGGATTGACAAACCACGAAAAGGAGGTGTCTGGACGACTAGAGGATAGAGAGGGGAACAGAGTTAATTAGTTTCATTTCGTGGTAAAGTTAGCAAGCACTGAAATCAGCTTAATTAAAGGAGAGACAATAATTTGGGTAATTCTGACTATAAATGACATATGAACCTTACTTTTTTTCAGTGCATCAAAAAGTGGGTGGGTATACCATAGTCGTGACCTTTTTTTCATGATTTTGGACGACATGCTATACTATGACTTTTTTGTCATGATTTTGGACGACATACTATACTATGACTTTTTTTATGATTTTGCACGACATGCTATACTATGACTTTTTTGTCAAAATTTTGGACGACATGCTATACTAAGACTTTTTTGTCATGATTTTGCATGACATGCTATACTATGACTTTTTTCATGATTTTGCACGACATGCTA